GTTAGCAGCGGAGGTCAGCGGCTCTGTTAGCAGCTCTTTTAGCTGTACGGTTAGCAGCTCTGTTAGCTGCATGGTTAGCAGCGGTCAGTTGCTCTGATAGCTGCGCGGTTAGCGGAGGTCAGCGGCTCTGTTAGCTGCACGATTAGCGGCTCTGTTAGCTGCGCGGTTAGCAGCGGTCAGTGGCTCTGTTAGCTGCGCGGTTAGCAGCGGTCAGTGGCTCTGTTAGCTGCGCGGTTAGCAGCGGTCAGTGGCTCTGTTAGCTGGACGGTTAGCAGCGGAGGTCAGCAGCTCTGTTAGCAGCTCTGTTAGCTGCACGGTTAGCGGCTGCTCTGTTAGCTGCACGGTTAGTAGCGGTCAGCAGCTCTGTTAGCTGCATGGTTAGCAGCGGTCAGTTGCTCTGATAGCTGCGCGGTTAGCGGAGGTCAGCGGCTCTGTTAGCTGCACGATTAGCGGCTCTGTTAGCTGCGCGGTTAGCAGCGGTCAGTGGCTCTGTTAGCTGCGCGGTTAGCAGCGGTCAGTGGCTCTGTTAGCTGCACGGTTAGCGGCTGCTCTGTTAGCTGCGCGGTTAGTAGCGGTCAGCAGCTCTGTTAGCTGCACGGTTAGCGGCTGCTCTGTTAGCTGCACGGTTAGCGGCGGTCAGTAGCTCTGTTAGCTGCACAGTTAGCTGGACGGTTAGCAGCGGAGGTCAGCGGCTCTGTTAGCAGCTCTGTTAGCTGTACGGTTAGCAGCTCTGTTAGCTGCACGATTAGCAGCTCTGTTAGCGGAACGGTTAGCAGCGGTCAGCGGTTCTGTTAGCGGAACGGTTAGCAGGGGCTCTGTTAGCAGCTCTGTTAGCTGCACGGTTAGCGGCTGCTCTGTTAGCTGCACGGTTAGTAGCGGTCAGCAGCTCTGTTAGCTGCACAGTTAGCTGGACGGTTAGCAGCGGAGGTCAGCAGCTCTGTTAGCTGTACGGTTAGCAGCTCTGTTAGCGGCGGTCAGCGGCTCTGTTAGCGGAACGGTTAGCAGCGGTCAGCGGCTCTGTTAGCGGAACGGTTAGCAGGGGCTCTGTTAGCAGCTCTGTTAGCTGCACGGTTAGCGGCTGCTCTGTTAGCTGCACGGTTAGTAGCGGTCAGCAGCTCTGTTAGCTGCACGGTTAGCAGCTGCTCTGTTAGCTGCACGGTTAGCGGCGGTCAGTAGCTCTGTTAGCTGCACAGTTAGCTGGACGGTTAGCAGCGGAGGTCAGCGGCTCTGTTAGCAGCTCTGTTAGCTGTACGGTTAGCAGCTCTGTTAGTTGCACGGTTAGCAGCGGTCAGTTGCTCTGATTGCTGCGCGGTTAGCAGCGGTCAGCGGCTCTGTTAGCTGCGCGGTTAGCGGCGGTCAGCGGCTCTGTTAGCTGCGCGGTTAGCGGCGGTCAGCGGCTCTGTTAGCGGAACGGTTAGCGGCGGTCAGCGGCTCTGTTAGCGGAACGGTTAGCGGCTCTGTTAGCGGAACGGTTAGCAGAGGTCAGTGGCTCTGTCAGCTGCGCGGTTAGCAGCGGTCAGTGGCTCTGTTAGCTGCGCGGTTAGCAGCGGTCAGGGCTCTTTTAGCTGCACGGTTAGCAGCGGTCAGGGCTCTGTTAGCTGCGCGGTTAGCAGCGGTCAGTGGCTCTGTTAGCTGCGCGGTTAGCAGCGGTCAGTGGCTCTGTTAGCTGCGCGGTTAGCAGCGGTCAGGGCTCTGTTAGCGGAACGGTTAGCAGCGGTCAGGGCTCTGTTAGCTGCGCGGTTAGCAGCGGTCAGTGGCTCTGTTAGCGGAACGGTTAGCAGCGGTCACGGCTCTGTTAGCGGAACGGTTAGCAGCGGTCACGGCTCTGTTAGCGGAACGGTTAGCAGCGGTCAGGGCTCTGTTAGCTGCGCGGTTAGCAGCGGTCAGGGCTCTGTTAGCGGAACGGTTAGCAGCGGTCAGTGGCTCTGTTAGCGGAACGGTTAGCAGCGGTCACGGCTCTGTTAGCGGAACGGTTAGCAGCGGTCACGGCTCTGTTAGCGGAACGGTTAGCAGCGGTCAGGGCTCTGTTAGCTGCGCGGTTAGCAGCGGTCAGGGCTCTGTTAGCGGAACGGTTAGCAGCGGTCAGTGGCTCTGTTAGCGGAACGGTTAGCAGCGGTCACGGCTCTGTTAGCGGAACGGTTAGCAGCGGTCACGGCTCTGTTAGCGGAACGGTTAGCGAGCTAAAACCTAAACCTAAAGTTTAATTCCCCGTTAGCTTTAGCAGGGTAATTGTCTCACTCGGCGTTAATTTGCAGCGATCCGCATGCAGGCTGCGTTCAATGAGTCTGACCGGTAACTCGCTCTTAAACGCACTCAGCAATCCTTTGACCATATATGGTGTCTCTTTCCTGCTGAGGTTCAATGTAGACCTTATTCCTAGATGAGTTGTTCCTCCTCAGTACAAACCCTGCGCTCTGCCTCCTGATTGATCTGCTAGCTTGAACCCGCCCCTTTATAGATGCGTGTTCATAGATGAGTTATAGAGCTGATAACCAGCTGGGAGGAATCCAGTAGGAAGCGGTTGGTTCATCATGGCGTCCTTCCTGCAGCGCCTTTCTTTTCATTTTTTATGTTTTTATTCAGCAACAACCTTCAGTTGTAGGAAATAATCGCTTCTTTCCCTGAAGCAGCGGTGAAACCGCGATTTAATCGATTTACATGGAAGTGAACGAGCCGATAACTGAGCGAGGAAAGGAGCCCTGAAAGAGGTGCCCCGCCTGGTGACCTTTGACCTCATGTCCTCCCTCCTCTCAGCCCATTTCCTGTTAAAGCCAATGAAACCAGCCGGCCTTTTAGCCGAGCTAACGCCTGGTGGCTAACGCTAACGAAGCGCCGAGCATCCAGTCCGTCTGCTGGCGGCTGCTCCTCCGTCGGCTCAGAGTGAAAATGTGAATATTTAGATGAAAGGATGAACTGAGTTCAGAACCAGAGGCGGCGTGTGGGCGGGGCTTAATGCTGTGTTTGATGTCTCCCAGTGCTCCCAGGGAGGCGTCCATCAAGATGATTCAGAACGAGATCCGCTCCGTCATCAGACAGATCACGGCCACCATCACCTTCCTGCCGCTGCTGGAGACGCCATGTCAGTTCCTCTTCCTCTGCCCTTCCTCTCAGGAGGAACCGCCTCCTTTCTGACCTCTGACCCCTCCCCTGCAGGTGCATTTGATCTCCTGGTCTACACAGACAAGGACCTGGTGGTTCCAGAGAAGTGGGAGGAGTCCGGTCCTCAGATCATCGACCAATCAGAGGAGGTGCGTCTGCGCTCCTTCACCACCTCCATCCACAAGGTCAACAGCATGGTGGCGTATAAAAGAACCGACTCCGTCTGAGGCCCCGGGGCCCCGGTCCGGAGGCTGAGGCCCCGGGCTTTCCTGTCCTGAAGTTGTTCTCGTGTAAATATTTTTCTGTTTTCATTTCATGTGTAAAACTTTTAAAACCTGTTTTCCAATAAAAGTTGTTTTTATTTGCATCATGTTTTACTGCTTTTTAACACCAGGGGGCAGAAGCGGGTCCAACCAGGACCGGCTGCATGTCCCTAAAGGAAGAAATCAGATCCACAAACAGGAAGTAGAATAAAGTGTTTTTATTCCGTGGTCGTGTTCCTGGGCTCGGTGGTCGCTCGCTAACCGCTAACCCTCAGCTGTGGAGACGCCTGGAAGCAGGCGTTGCTACGGCAACACAGTGATGCCCCGTGCATGGCTGTAGCTCAGGTTAACATAAGATCAAACATTTAGGCTCAGATCAAACTATTTCAAAGAGTTCCTTCCATTTAGGAATTAATTTAACCTTTTTTTATAAACTGGTTTCCTGTCGGTCAGAAGAAGATTTTACATTTGGAGGAACGTCAGGCCGCCATTATTAGGCCGCCGTTACGCCTGCGGTGATGCAGACTATGTAAGTGCTGAGCGCTCCACTGACCCTCCCTAGGTGGTTTAGGACGGTCTTTAAAGGGGCGGAGCCTCCAGAGGGTTAGCGGTCAGGGGCCTCTTTGTCTTTCTGAGGAAATGATCGGCAGGTGGAGAAGAACCCGGACCGGACTCTTTAGAACTGCTGGTTCTGTTCAGGGCAGAACCGTCACACGCATCTTTTTACTAAAACACACAGATTAAAAGTACATTTCCTATCAGAGTGACTTTACAGCATAGAAACTCTAATAAATACATAAAAATAATAAATATTTTAGACGCAGGTGAGAAAGTATCAAAGCCTTGTGCTACAAACAAAGCGTCTAACAAGCAGCGGCGCTAATTAATTAGCTGCTCTGCTTCCTGGGAGGGAGGAACCAACATCTCAGTGCTCTGCTAACAAGCTAAGGCTAACGTGTCCTCCACTTCCTGTGCATGTTTGCTAGCTGCTGGTGGGGACAGGAACCAGAAATGATTTAGTCCTTCACAGCAGAGGAAACCCAGATCCTCCCGGTAGAAGGGACCTGAACCAGAACCATAGAACCAGAACTGTAGCCAAGTCCTGTATGGCTTTAGCTCCAGTTTCAGGGCCACAGGGAGGATCGGGGGCTGCAGGGAGGATAGGGGGCTGCAGGGAGGATCGGGGGCTATAGGGGCCACAGGGAGGATCGGGGGCTGCAGGGAGGATCGGGGGCTATAGGGGCCACAGGGAGGATCAGGGGCCACAGGGAGGATCGGGGGCTATAGGGAGGATCAGGGGCCGCAGGGAGGATAGGGGCCACAGGGAGGATCGGGGGCCACAGGGAGGATCGGGGGCTATAGGGAGGATCAGGGGCCGCAGGGAGGATAGGGGCCACAGGGAGGATCGGGGGCCGCAGGGAGGATCGAGGGCCGCAGGGAGGATAGGGGCCACAGGGAGGATCGGGGCCACAGGGAGGATCCGGGGCCACAGGGAGGATCCGGGGCCACAGGGAGGATCAGGGGCCACAGGGAGGATAGGGGCCACAGGTAGGATAGGGGCCACAGGGAGGATCGGGGGCAGCAGGGAGGATCGGGGGCAGCAGGGAGGATCCGGGGCCACAGGGAGAATCCGGGGCCACAGGGAGGATCCGGGGCCACAGGGAGGATCAGGGGCCACAGGGAGGATAGGGGCCACAGGGAGGATAGGGGCCACAGGGAGGATCGGGGGCAGCAGGGAGGATCGGGGGCCGGCTGGTCTTCAGTCCAGGCCGTTGAGCGGGTCTTTCTCGCGGCCCTCAGCCAGACGCTTCCAGTGCTGCCGGTTGTTCTGGCAGCCCTCCAGCAGAGGGCAGCAGTGCTCCGACAGGCCAGCCAGGGTCTGTGGGACGACAGAGACAGGAAGTGATCGGGTCTGATGGGTCCAGAACTCAGGTAGAACCCGGTCCCAATTACCTCGTATAGCTGGACACAGATGGCATCGATGAAGGAAACCTGCATGCTTGGAATTTTGTCTCTTTTCTCCCGATTCATCAGATCCTGCAGAGAAAACAGACCAACAGCTGATGAGGTTCTGTCCAGAACCAGAACCGGTCCGACCCAGAGCTGTCCGGGGTACCTACGATGGGTTCGATGTTCAGCTCCCGGCGCTCCTTGTCCCCCTGCTCAAAGAACTCCTCGGCCACCAGCTCAGCGATCTGCTGACACAACAGAACCAATCGGGTCAGAACCAAGACACAACTGGACCTAAAGGCTGGAAACCACTGAGGCTTTGGTTCCGATGGTCCGTCACTAACTGAGAAAGGCTGAGCACTAAGTCCTGGTCGGTCTTCTTAGAACTTCAGGTTCTAGTCGGTACCGCTGCCACCTGCTGGGCTCATCCGGACTCAGAGCAGCAGAACCCTGATGCAGAAAGCTCCGATCCTAGCAGTCTGAACCGGACCTCTGGTTCTGAATCGGACCGTTTGGATCAGAGTTCTGATCCTAGCAGTCTGAACCGGATCTCTGGTTCTGAATCGGACCGTTTGGATCAGAGCCACGATCCTAGCAGTCTGAACCGGCTCTCTTTAGGCAAAGCTCCGCCCCTTCGTCCGGCTCTCTTTAGGCAAAGCTCCGCCCCTTCGTCAGGCTCTCTTTAGGCAAAGCTCCGCCCCTTCGTCAGGCTCTCTCAGGCAAAGCTCCACCCCTTCGTCCGGCTCTCTTTAGGCAAAGCTCCGCCCCTTCGTCCGGCTCTCTTTAAGCAAAGCTCCGCCCCTTCGTCAGGCTCTCAGGCAAAGCTCCGCCCCTTCGTCAGGCTCTCTCAGGCAAAGCTCCGCCCCTTCGTCCGGCTCTCTTTAGGCAAAGCTCCGCCCCTTCGTCCGGCTCTCTTTAGGCAAAGCTCCGCCCCTTCGTCCGGCTCTCTTTAGGCAAAGCTCCGCCCCTTCGTCCGGCTCTCTTTAGGCAAAGCTCCGCCCCTTCGTCCGGCTCTCTTTAGGCAAAGCTCCGCCCCTTCGTCAGGCTCTCTCAGGCAAAGCTCCGCCCCTTCGTCCGGCTCTCTTTAGGCAAAGCTCCGCCCCTTCGTCCGGCTCTCTTTAGGCTAAGCTCCGCCCCTTCGTCCGGCTCTCTTTAGGCAAAGCTCCGCCCCTTCGTCCGGCTCTCTTTAGGCAAAGCTCCGCCCCTTCGTCAGGCTCTCTCAGGCAAAGCTCCGCCCCTTCGTCCGGCTCTCTTTAGGCAAAGCTCCGCCCCTTCGTCCGGCTCTCTTTAGGCTAAGCTCCGCCCCTTCGTCCGGCTCTCTTTAGGCTAAGCTCCGCCCCTTCGTCCGGCTCTCTTTAGGCAAAGCTCCGCCCCTTCGTCAGGCTCTCTCAGGCAAAGCTCCGCCCCTTCGTCCGGCTCTCTTTAGGCAAAGCTCCGCCCCTTCGTCCGGCTCTCTTTAGGCTAAGCTCCGCCCCTTCGTCAGGCTCTCTCAGGCAAAGCTCCGCCCCTTCGTCCGGCTCTCTCAGGCAAAGCTCCGCCCCTTCGTCCGGCTCTCTTTAGGCAAAGCTCCGCCCCTTCGTCCGGCTCTCTTTAGGCAAAGCTCCGCCCCTTCGTCCGGCTCTCTTAAGGCAAAGCCCCGCCCCTTCGTCCGGCTCTCTTTAGGCAAAGCTCCGCCCCTTCGTCCGGCTCTCTTTAGGCAAAGCTCCGCCCCTTCGTCCGGCTCTCTTTAGGCTAAGCTCCGCCCCTTCGTCCGGCTCTCTTTAGGCTAAGCTCCGCCCCTTCGTCCGGCTCTCTTAAGGCAAAGCCCCGCCCCTTCGTCTGGCTCTCTTTAGGCTAAGCTCCGCCCCTTCGTCCGGCTCTCTTTAGGCAAAGCTCCGCCCCTTCGTCCGGCTCTCTTAAGGCAAAGCTCCGCCCCTTTAGCAGCCAGGCTGCTCATCTTGTGGATGTTCAGCCCCGTGAATGAAGGCTGCTGTCTGTGTGCAGACGGCGGCTCCTGATCCTGATCCTTGGTGTGTTTAGATCTGTTTTCCTTGGAGACAGAACCTGAGAACGGGCCGCAGCTGTTCTGATTAATGAGCACTCAATTATGGACACACAAAGAACCCGAGCTCCCTCTGAGCCTGCGGCTCCTAATGAGGAGCAGGCTAACGAGGAGCGCTGGGAGATGAAATGGCAGGAGTGCATGAGGAGGCGTCGCCACGGAGACACTATGGAAGCAGCTCAGGTTCTGATGCTGCAGCTGGCGGCCGATTCTACGCAGCTGTCAGAGCCATGATGAGGAGGACAGGTGGGTCCATGGCGGTTCTGAGCGGTCCGACAGAACCCGGCCGACATTATAGCACAGCTACCTAGGGGGGGCTTACCCGTTTTTGCACCGGCCACGGTTTGGTGATGGCAGAGATGTCGCATGCAGTCATCAGCATCGCCCTGGAAGACGAGACAGAAAATAAGTCAATAGAAGTCTAGAATCTAGTCTGAACTTTCTACGCTGAAATCAACAGTTTCACTCCATGCAAGTATTCACACCCCGTTACCTAAACTCTGGTTCTGCTTTCAGCTCCCATCGGTAGAATTATTAGACAGCATGGGATTAATTTCCACTGTTATGCTGATGATACCCAGCTATATCTGTCTATAAATCCAGATGAAGCTAACCCATTACATAGATTACAGGCATGTCTGAAGACATAAAAACCTGGATGACTCTTAACTTTCTGCTTCTGAATGCAGATAAAACAGAAGTTATAGTCTTTGGACCAGAGTCTCTGAAAAAGAAACTGATTAGCCAGTCACTTCATTTGGATGGGATTAAACTGATTTCAGATAATAAAGTAAAAAATCTTGGTGTTGTTTTTGATCAGGACCTGTCATTTAAATCCCAGATCAAAGAGGTTTCTAGAATTTCCTTCTTTCATCTGAGGAACATTGCAAAAATTAGAAATCTCCTGTCCAGGGGTGATGCTGAGAAACTAGTCCATGCATTTGTTACTTCAAGGCTGGACTATTGTAATTCTTTACTATCAGGAAGTCCACAAACTGTAGTTAAAAGCCTTCAGCTGATCCAAGATGCTGCAGCCAGAGTTCTGATGAAAATGAAAAAGAGAGATCATATCTCTCCTATCCTGGCTTCTCTTCATTGGCTTCCTGTTAAATCCAGAATAGAGTTCCTGATGCAGCTCACCTCAGAAGCTCCCTGTGATCTTCATCCTCCCAAACAAACTGGTTGTTCTTGGTGAGCTCAAAGAACTCCTCCCGCCTCCTGACAGCAAACAGGAAAGAAAGAAGAAGTTAGATCCGCTCTGAAACCAACATCAGACAGCTGGTGTCCCTAAGCGGATCTCCTGAGTGGATCATCCATCACAGGATGACGGCCAGAATTCATCTGAGCAGCTTCTCCAGGTTTTATGCTCCATATTTGATCCTCAGTCTTTATTTTCATGTTTTTTATCTTGTTTTTGTCAAACTTTGAAGAACTTCTAGATCATTTCATCATTATTCTACGTCCATTTTCTCTGTCTGGATCACTCGTCTTATTTAGAGAGACGTGTTCAGCTGTGGAGAAACCTGAGTGACCTGTTCCACCTCTTCCTGTTTGTTCAAGTGATTAAAAACGCCGCGCCATCATCATCATCATCATCATCCTGCCTTCATCGTTTGGCGGGAGCATCTTCTGGTTGTTGATCATGTGACTCATTTGAAGAGAACATTTATTTATTATAGTTTTATGAAATACACCAATTTAAATGCAGCTTAAGAACATTTGGCATAAAAAGTTTATTTTTTAACGGGAGATAAGCAGCCAGCAGGGGGCGGTGTGACACGCATGGGGACGCTGTCAGGCGGCCAGCAGGGGGCGGTGTGACACGCATGGGGGCGCTGTCAGGCGGCCAGCAGGGGGCGCTGTCAGGCGGCCAGCAGGGGGCGGTGTGACACGCATGGGGGCGCTGTCAGGCGGCCAGCAGGGGGCGGTGTGACACGCATGGGGGCGCTGTCAGGCGGCCAGCAGGGGGCGGTGTGACACGCATGGGGGCGCTGTCAGGCGGCCAGCAGGGGGCGGTGTGACACGCATGGGGGCGCTGTCAGGCGGCCAGCAGGGGGCGGTGTGACACGCATGGGGGCGCTGTCAGGCGGCCAGCAGGGGGCGGTGTGACACGCATGGGGGCGCTGTCAGGTGCGGGGCGGTACCTACTTCATGTAGAGGGCGAGGTCCGTGGCCAGGATGGCCTTCTCGATCATCTTCAGGGTGCTCCTGTACTCGGCCAGAGAGAGAGCGCTGAGGATCTGGTTCCCCTGGAGAGAAGAAGCCGGGTCAGTGTCCCACCCCGCAGCGTTGCCGTGACAACATCATCTTCTGAGTCTGGATGAGGAGACACGGACTTACCGGACTGGTGAGGATCATGAGGCACTGGTCAAAGTGGTGATGCTCCATGGTGGAGTGGCAGTAGAGCTGAGCCAGAGGGTGCTCGCTCCTAGACATCACATATAGACGTTAGCCTCACTGTAGATCTACCAATCTCAGATAACCCCCCTCCCGTACCTCTGGATGTAGGAGTTGTTGACCCCTCGGTGGTCCAGGTCATGGCAGAGCGTCGCAATCATTAGTGCCAGGATCTCCAGGTCGGTCAGGAAGTCCTGTCCAAAGAGAAGCAGAGATCAGCAGCCATGTTGGACCCGATAACTCATGGGTTCTGGTCTCTGTGAGCTTGCTGAGCTGGACCAAGATCCAAACTTTCTGGTTTTATGACCCAAATCCTCCTGACTGTGGGTTCTGTCTCAGGCCAGCAGTCTGGGATGGAGAAAGCCACCAAAACCTGGAGGATTAGCTGAGCTGTTTGAGGGACACTAAAGCAACCAGCCGGGAACCAGAATGGAACCAAGGCTGGAACCAGCCTAGAACCGAGCCTGGACCAGCATGGAAACAGCCTGGAACCAAGGCTGGAACCAGCCTAGAACACAGCCTGGAACCAGCATGAAACCAGCCTGGAACCAAGCCTGGAACCAGCTTATAACCAGAATGGAACCAAATATGGAACCAGCCTGGAACCGAGCCTGGAACCAGCCTGGAACCGAGCCTGAACCAGCCTGGAACCAAGGCTGTAACCAGCTTGGAACCAAGGCTGTAACCAGCCTGGAACCAGAATGGAACCTAGGCTGGAACCAGAATGGAACCAAGGCTGGAACCAGCCTGAAACCCGAAGGGAACAAGCCTGGAACCATAATGGAACCAGCCTGGAACCCGAAGGGAACCAGCCTGAAACCTGAATGGAACTGAGCCTGGAACCAGCATAGTACCAGAATGGAACCCAAATGGAACCAAGCGTGGAACAAGAATAGAACTGAGACTGGAACCCAAAGGGAACCAGCCTGGAACCATAATGGAACCAAGGCTGTAACCAGCCTGGAACCAGAATGGAACCTAGGCTGGAACCAGAATGGAACCAAGGCTGGAACCAGCCTGAAACCCGAAGGGAACAAGCCTGGAACCATAATGGAACCAGCCGAGACTCAGAATGGAACCCAAATGGAGCCAAGCATGGAACCAGAATTTAACCCAAATGGAACCTGAATGGAACCAGCCTGAACCAGAATGGAAACAGCCTGGAACCAGAATGCAACAGAAATAGAACCAGCCTGGAACCAGAATGGAACCGGCCTGGAACCAACCCTGGAACGAGAATGAAACAAAAATAGAAACAGCCTGGAACCAATATGGAACCAGTCTGGAACCCCAAGAGAACCAGAATGGAACCAAGCCTGGAACCAGAACGGAACCAGCCTGGAACCCGAATGGAACATAAATAGAACCAGTCTGGAACCAGAATGGAACCAAGCCTGGAACCCGAATGGAACAAAAATAGAACCAGTCTGGAACCAGAATGGAACCAAGCCTGGAACCCAAAGAGAACCAGAATGGAACCAAGCCTGGAACCAGAACGGAACCAGCCTGGAACCCGAATGGAACATAAATAGAACCAGTCTGGAACCAGAATGGAACCAAGCCTGGAACCCAAAGAGAACCAGAATGGAACCAAGCCTGGAACCAGAACGGAACCAGCCTGGAACCCGAATGGAACAAAAATAGAACCAGTCTGGAACCAAAATGGAACCAGCCTGGAACCCGAAGGGAACCAGTCTTGCTACCAGCCTTGAACGAGTCTCAGAGCGGAAGGACCATCCCTGACATGACATCAGTGGTGGACCATGGAGCGAGAAGCTGAGGAACGCCATCACAGATCCTTACTGTCATCCCTGCTGCTGCGTCCTCATTTCTGCAGCGGCCGTTAAACAAGAAGCAGAAACTTTTCACAGATGTTAGTCAGCTTACTCCTAAATGATTCCCTGTTCCAGGATCATCTCTTGTTTTGGGTTTAGCTCTGGTTCTGTCACAGAACTGCAGACTTTAGTAAATATTTAAAATTTACCTCCAGATCAGCCTAAAATATTGATTTCTAGCTTCTCAAACGTGAATCTTTAGATCAGATCTTCCACCAGGAAGTTTTAGATGATTTGATGATGAGCTCCTGGGAGGCCTCTTTACCATCACCCGAACCTTCAGACCCGGACTGAACCAGAAGCTCCATTAGCTGTATGGAAACTTTAGAACCTGATAAAGATATTCTATGGTACACCCAAACCCATTATTGGGTTCTGCCGAACAGAACCTGGATCAGATCCTACCTGGAAGCGTCCAGACTTCAGCAAGGCGAACATGCACTGGGCCGTGTTCAGCGCGTGCCTCCAGTTGTGGTAGGCCACATTCTTCCTGTAGTTCTTCCGAACACTCAGAACCCACTGGCACAAGTTCTGCAAAGGGAACCCGGAGGCAGCAGTGGTTCAGAACCCGGTTTGAGACGTGATGGGAGAAGGTCGGGCAGGTCTTACCGTGTACTTCATTTGGAAGTTCTGGATCAGGTTGAGATCGATGAACATGCGGATCGTAGCCAGTGTGGTTTCAGCGTCCGACAGCTCGAAGTCGCTGAAGCTGAAGTCCAGGAGACGCAGTGACTGAGCCGAAGGAACTGTGGCCACCTGGAAACACCAGAGGTTAGATCCCTTCAGGGGGAAATTCAGATCAGCCGGTTCTGCTGCTCTTGCCTCATGGGGACCAACCAGAGTGTCACCTGCAGGGAAGGCCCGTTACCACAGCAACCACAGCAGGAGGGGAAGAAACTTTGGTCTCAGATCTGACAAAAACTCCTGAAACTTCTAAACGTCTCATATAATGAAAATAAGGTGATCCCAATAACCGATGTTCCCACTGATCCCAATAACAGATGTTTCCACTGATCCCAACCACCGATGTTCCCACTGATCCCAGTAACAGATGTTCCCACTGATCCGGACCACCGATGTTCCCACTGATCCCAACAACCGATGTTCCCACTGATCCCAGTAACTGATGTTCCCACTGATCCCAACCACCGATGTTCCCACTGATCCCAATAACCGATGTTCCCACTGATCCCAGTAACCGATGTTCCCACTGATCCTAGTAACCGATGTTCCCACTGATCCCAACCACCGATGTTCCCACTGATCCCAACCCCCGATGTTCCCACTGATCCCAGTAACCGATGTTCCCACTGATCCGGCCCACCGATGTTCCCACTGATCCCAACAACCGATGTTCCCACTGATCCCAGTAACTGATGTTCCCACTGATCCCAGAAACTGATGTTCCCACTGATCCCAACCACCGATGTTCCCACTGATCCCAGAAACTGATGTTCCCACTGATCCCAGTAACCGATGTTCCCACTGATCCCAATAACAGATGTTTCCACTGATCCCAACCACCGATGTTCCCACTGATCCCAGTAACAGATGTTCCCACTGATCCGGACCACCGATGTTCCCACTGATCCCAACAACCGATGTTCCCACTGATCCCAACAACCGATGTTCCCACTGATCCCAGTAACAGATGTTCCCACTGATCCGGACCACCGATGTTCCCACTGATCCCAACAACCGATGTTCCCACTGATCCCAACAACCGATGTTCCCACTGATCCCAACAACCGATGTTCCCACTGATCCCAACAACCGATGTTCCCACTGATCCCAGTAACCGATGTTCCCACTGATCCCAATAACCGATGTTCCCACTGATCCCAACCACCGATGTTCCCACTGATCCCAACCACCGATGTTCCCACTGATCCCAGTAACCGATGTTCCCACTGATCCGGACCACCGATGTTCCCACTGATCCCAACAACCGATGTTCCCACTGATCCCAGTAACTGATGTTCCCACTGATCCCAACCACCGATGTTCCCACTGATCCCAGTAACCGATGTTCCCACTGATCCCAATAACCGATGTTCCCACTGATCCCAACCACCGATGTTCCCACTGATCCCAACCACCGATGTTCCCACTGATCCCAGTAACCGATGTTCCCACTGATCCGGACCACCGATGTTCCCACTGATCCCAACAACCGATGTTCCCACTGATCCCAGTAACTGATGTTCCCACTGATCCCAACCACCGATGTTCCCACTGATCCCAGTAACTGATGTTCCCACTGATCCCAGTAACCGATGTTCCCACTGATCCCAGTAACCGATGTTCCCACTGATCCCAGTAACCAATGTTCCCACTGATCCTAGTAACCGATGTTCCCACTGATCCCAATAACCCATGTTCCCACTGATCCCAGTAACCGATGTTCCCACTGATCCCAATAACCGATGTTCCCACTGATCCCAGTAACCGATGTTCCCACTGATCCCAACCAACGATGTTCACACTGATCCCAGTAACCGATGTTCCCACTGATCCCAATAACCGATGTTCCCACTGATCCCAGTAACCGATGTTCCCACAACCCCTATAACCGATGTTCCCACTGATCCCAGTAACCGATGTTCCAACTGATCCCAACAACCGATGTTCCCACTGATCCCAATAACCGATGTTCCCACTGATCCCAACAACCGATGTTCCCACTGATCCCAGTAACCGATGTTCCCACTGATCCCAATAACCGATGTTCCCACTGATCCCAGTAACCGATGTTCCCACTGATCCCAGTAACCGATGTTCCCACTGATCCCAGTAACCGATGTTCCCACTGATCCCAACAACCGATGTTCCCACTGATCCCAGTAACCGATGTTCCCACTGATCCCAACAACCGATGTTCCCACTGATCCCAGTAACCGATGTTCCCACTGATCCCAACAACCGATGTTCCCACTGATCCCAGTAACCGATGTTCCCACTGATCCCAACAATCGATGTTCCCACTGATCCCAGTAACGATGTTCCCACTGATCCCAGTAACCGATGTTCCCACTGATCCCAATAACCGATGTTCCCACTGATCCCAGTAACCGATGTTCCCACTGATCCCAGTAACCGATGTTCCCACTGATCCCAATAACTGATGTTCCCACTGATCCCAGTAACTGATGTTCCCACTGATCCCAGTAACCGATGTTCCCATTGATCCCAACAACCGATGTTCCCACTGATCCCAACAACCGATGTTCCCACTGATCCCAACAACCGATGTTCCCACTGATCCCAATAACAGATGTTCCCACTGATCCCAATAACAGATGTTCCCACTGATCCCAGTAACTGATGTTCCCACTGATCCCAGTAACCGATGTTCCCACTGATCCCAATAACCGATGTTCCCACTGATCCCAGTAACCGATGTTCCCACTGATCCCAGTAACTGATGTTCCCACTGATCCCAATAACCGATGTTCCCACTGATCCCAGTAACCGATGTTCCCACTGATCCCAATAACGGATGTTCCCACTGATCCCAGTAACCGGTGTTCCCCCTGATCCCAGTAACCGATGTTCCCACTGATCCCAACAACCGATGTTCCCACTGATCCCAGTAACCGATGTTCCCACTGATCCCAGTAACCGATGTTCCCACTGATCCCAGTAACTGATTGTTCCCACTGATCCCAGTAACCGATGTTCCAACTGATCCCAACAACCGATGTTCCCACTGATCCCAATAACCGATGTTCCCACTGATCCCAACAACCGATGTTCCCACTGATCCCAGTAACCGATGTTCCCACTGATCCCAATAACCGATGTTCCCACTGATCCCAGTAACCGATGTTCCCACTGATCCCAGTAACCGATGTTCCCATTGATCCCAACAACCGATGTTCCCACTGATCCCAACAACCGATGTTCCCACTGATCCCAACAACCGATGTTCCCACTGATCCCAACAACCGATGTTCCCACTGATCCCAATAACTGATGTTCCCACTGATCCCAGTAACTGACGTTCCCACTGATCCCAGTAACCGATGTTCCCACTGATCCCAATAACCGATGTTCCCACTGATCCCAGTAACCGATGTTCCCACTGATCCCAGTAACCGATGTTCCCACTGATCCCAATAACCGATGTTCCCACTGATCCCAGTAACCGATGTTCCCACTGATCCCAATAACGGATGTTCCCACTGATCCCAGTAACCGGTGTTCCCACTGATCCCAGTAACCGATGTTCCCACTGATCCCAACAACCGATGTTCCCACTGATCCCAGTAACCGATGTTCCCACTGATCCCAGTAACTGATGTTCCCACTGATCCCAATAACCCATGTTCCCACTGATCCCAGTAACCGATGTTCCCACTGATCCCAGTAACCGATGTTCCCACTGATCCCAGTAACTGATTGTTCCCACTGATCCCAGTAACTGATTGTTCCCACTGATCCCAGTAACCGATGTTCCCACTGATCCCAACAACCGATGTTCCCACTGATCCCAATAACCGATGTTCCCACTGATCCCAGTAACCGATGTTCCCACTGATCCCAGTAACCGATGTTCCCACTGATCCCAATAACCGATGTTCCCACTGATCCCAGTAACCGATGTTCCCACTGATCCCAATAACGGATGTTCCCACTGATCCCAGTAACCGGTGTTCCCACTGATCCCAGTAACCGATGTTCCCACTGATCCCAACAACCAATGTTCCCACTGATCCCAGTAACCGATGTTCCCACTGATCCCAGTAACTGATGTTCCCACTGATCCCAATAACCCATGTTCCCACTGATCCCAGTAACCGATGTTCCCACTGATCCCAATAACCGATGTTCCCACTGATCCCAACCACCGATGTTCCCACTGATCCCAACCACCGATGTTCCCACTGATCCCAGTAACCGATGTTCCCACTGATCCGGACCACCGATGTTCCCACTGATCCCAACAACCGATGTTCCCACTGATCCCAGTAACTGATGTTCCCACTGATCCCAACCACCGATGTTCCCACTGATCCCAGTAACTGATGTTCCCACTGATCCCAGTAACCGATGTTCCCACTGATCCCAGTAACCGATGTTCCCACTGATCCCAGTAACCAATGTTCCCACTGATCCCAGTAACCGATGTTCCCACTGATCCCAGTAACCGATGTTCCCACTGATCCTAGTAACCGATGTTCCCACTGATCCCAATAACCCATGTTCCCACTGATCCCAGTAACCGATGTTCCCACTGATCCCAATAACCGATGTTCCCACTGATCATAATAACCGATGTTCTCACTGATCCCAGTAACCGATGTTCCCACTGATCCCAATAACCGATGTTCCCACTGATCCCAGTAACCGATGTTCCCACTGATCCCAATAACGGATGTTCCCACTGATCCCAGTAACCGGTGTTCCCACTGATCCCAGTAACCGATGTTCCCACTGATCCCAACAACCGATGTTCCCACTGATCCCAGTAACCGATGTTCCCACTGATCCCAGTAACCGATGTTCCCACTGATCCCAGTAACTGATTGTTCCCACTGATCCCAGTAACCGATGTTCCAACTGATCCCAACAACCGATGTTCCCACTGATCCCAATAACCGATGTTCCCACTGATCCCAACAACCGATGTTCCCACTGATCCCAGTAACCGATGTTCCCACTGATCCCAATAACCGATGTTCCCACTGATCCCAGTAACCGATGTTCCCACTGATCCCAGTAACCGATGTTCCCATTGATCCCAACAACCGATGTTCCCACTGATCCCAACAACCGATGTTCCCACTGATCCCAACAACCGATGTTCCCACTGATCCCAACAACCGATGTTCCCACTGATCCCAACAACCGATGTTCCCACTGATCGCAGTAACCGATGTTCCCACTGATCGCAGTAACCGATGTTCCCACTGATCCCAGTAACCGATGTTCCCACTGATCCCAGTAACTGATGTTCCCACTGATCCCAACAACCAATGTTCCCACTGATGCCAGTAACCAATGTTCCCACTGATCCCAGTAACCAATGTTCCCACTGATGCCAGTAACTGATGTTCCCACTGATCCCAGTAACCGATGTTCCCACTGATCCCAATAACCGATGTTCCCACTGATTCCAGTAACCGATGTTCCCACTGATCCCAATAACCGATGTTCCCACTGATCCCAGTAACTGATGTTCCCACTGATCCCAACAACCAATGTTCCCACTGATCCCAGTAACTGATGTTCCCACTGATTCCAGTAACTGATGTTCCCACTGATCCCAGTAACCGATGTTCCCACTGATCCCAGTAACCGATGTTCCCACTGATTTGAGTAACCGATGTTCCCACTGATCCCAGTAACCGATGTTCCCACTGATCCCAATAACCGATGTTCCCACTGATCCCAGTAACTGATGTTCCCACTGATCCCAACAACCAATGTTCCCACTGATGCCAGTAACCAATGTTCCCACTGATCCCAGTAACCAATGTTCCCACTGATCCCAGTAACCAATGTTCCCACTGATGCCAGTAACTGATGTTCCCACTGATCCCAGTAACCGATGTTCCCACTGATCCCAGTAACCGATGTTCCCACTGATCCCAGTAACCGATGTTCCCACTGATCCCAATAACCGATGTTCCCACTGATTCCAGTAACCGATGTTCCCACTGATCCCAGTAACCGATGTTCCCACTGATCCCAGTAACCGATGTTCCCACTGATCCCAGTAACCGATGTTCCCACTGATCCCAGTAACCGATGTTCCCACTGATCCCAATAACCGATGTTCCCACTGATCCCAGTAACTGATGTTCCCACTGATCCCAACAACCAATGTTCCCACTGATCCCAGTAACTGATGTTCCCACTGATTCCAGTAACTGATGTTCCCACTGATCCCAGTAACCGATGTTCCCACTGATCCCAGTAACCGATGTTCCCACTGATCCGAGTAACCGATGTTCCCACTGATCCCAGTAACCGATGTTCCCACTGATCCCAGTAACCGATGTTCCCACTGATCCCAGTAACTGATGTTCCCACTGATCCCAGTAACCGATGTTCCCACTGATCCCAGTAACCGATGTTCCCACTGATCTGAGTAACCGATGTTCCCACTGATCCCAGTAACCGATGTTCCCACTGATCCCAATAACCGATGTTCCCACTGATCCCAGTAACTGATTGTTCCCACTGATCCCAGTAACCGATGTTCCCACTGATCCCAGTAACCGATGTTCCCACTGATCCCAATAACCGATGTTCCCACTGATCCCAGTAACTGATGTTCCAGCAGATCCCAGCAGAGCATAGGAGCAGCTGGGGCAACTCACAGGAAAAAGCATGGAATCAGGATGCTAAGCTAACAGCTAACTAGGTCCTCAGGAGGTGGCAGGTCTGGATGCTCTCATGTGGGCGGAGCCTAGCCACTGAGGAACTGTGTCCTATACTGAGACCAGCGTTAGCAAGGCGTTTAGCTGTGTTTCACTGCGCTGTCCTCAGATTATCAGAGGAAAACTAAGAAAGAAAACTTCCTCAGTGTTTTTCCAGCATGCACAGTTGATTTCATGAGAAGAAGAAAGTGTAATTTACCGCGGTTACCTGGAGTTCCCTGGTTTCCTCCTCAGTGGCGGAGGCGTGGTAGGACAGAACCTGGAACACAGGCAGATAGACGGCAGCTTTACAAGTCTGACTGTAGCTTCCTGATCCACTGCTAAGGATGATGTCGTATCTAACAGCGCATGGAAACAGGCCTTTCAAAGGGATCCATGAAGCTCGTGGGTCAAAGGTCAGGAGGCCCATCTGAGGCCCAGTCAGACAGAGGCTGTGTCTGAACGCCCGCCCTAAGCACTATATATTGGTTACACCATTTTAGACAAGTGTCCGAACATCCAGTGAATGAAAAAGGAGTGGACTTTCCCACAATGCACCTTGAAAAGTAGTGATCATCCATGGTCACTAGACGGGAAGATATCTCCCAGAATGGATCATGGGATTTGCTGTTACAGCGGCCTGCTGTTTTTGCCTACGCTTGTTGCTACCCGACACCGGCGAGAAAAAACAAAGATGGCGCAGGCACCGTGGGGGTAGGCGGAGTCTGGTGACCAACAGGTAGCGGAAAGTAGTGATCATAAGTCAGAACGGTCACTAGAGGGGAACTGGAAGTGAATTAGAAGTGAAACTGAATTAGAGTTTAACCAGAACTAAATTAGAGGTGAACCGAATTAGAGGGGAAATTAATTAGAAGTGAATTAGATTCAAACTTAACTAGAAGTGAAACTGGAACTGAATTAGAGGGGAACTGGATTGGAGGAGAACTGGAACGTAATTATTATTATTATTATTATTTTTTTTTTTTTTTTACAGCATCCTGTCTGGCAATGTGGCAATAAGAATAATTGTCTTGATGCCAAAAGGAGCCCAACAGATTTTACTTTCACAAGTGTAGCAGTATCGCAATTGCCATACTGCTCCACTTGTTTCATGTATATAAATTGCTTTATTATAATTATGCAGGGAGTTTTACAGTTTATATGGACACTGCAATGTAAGTAGAGCAGAAAAACAGAAGAAGAAGAAGGAAAAAGAAAAAAACAGGACAACGTAATTAAATGTGAATTGAAACCAAATTAGAGGGGAACAGGAAGTGAAGTAGAGGGGAACAGGAAGTGAAGTAGAGGGTAACAGGAAGTGAAGTAGAGGGGAACTGGAAGTGAAGTAGAGGTGAACAGGAAGTGAAGTAGAGGGGAACAGGAAGTGAAGTAGAGGGGGAGAGGAAGTGAAGTAGAGGGGGACAGGAAGTGAAGTAGAGGTGAACTGGAAGTGAAGTAGAGGTGAACAGGAAGTGAAGTAGAGGGGGACAGGAAGTGAAGTAGAGGTGAACTGGAAGTGAAGTAGAGGTGAACAGGAAGTGAAGTAGAGGTGAACAGGAAGTGAAGTAGAGGGGAACTGGAAGTGAAATAGAGGGGAACTGAAAGTGAAGTAGAGGTGAACAGGAAGTGAAGTAGAGGTGAACTGGAAGTGAAGTAGAGGGGAACAGGAAGTGAAGTAGAGGGGGACAGGAAGTGAAGTAGAGGGGAACTGGAAGTGAAGTAGAGGGGGACAGGAAGTGAAGTAGAGGTGAACTGGAAGTGAAGTAGAGGTGAACAGGAAGTGAAGTAGAGGTGAACTGGAAGTGAAGTAGAGGGGAACAGGAAGTGAAGTAGAGGGGAACAGGAAGTGAAGTAGAGGGGGAGAGGAAGTGAAGTAGAGGGGGACAGGAAGTGAAGTAGAGGTGAACTGGAAGTGAAGTAGAGGTGAACAGGAAGTGAAGTAGAGGGGGACAGGAAGTGAAGTAGAGGTGAACTGGAAGTGAAGTAGAGGTGAACAGGAAGTGAAGTAGAGGTGAACAGGAAGTGAAGTAGAGGGGAACTGGAAGTGAAATAGAGGGGAACTGGAAGTGAAGTAGAGGTGAACAGGAAGTGAAGTAGAGGTGAACTGGAAGTGAAGTAGAGGGGAACAGGAAGTGAAGTAGAGGGGGACAGGAAGTGAAGTAGAGGGGAACTGGAAGTGAAGTAGAGGGGGACAGGAAGTGAAGTAGAGGTGAACTGGAAGTGAAGTAGAGGTGAACAGGAAGTGAAGTAGAGGTGAACTGGAAGTGAAGTAGAGGGGAACAGGAAGTGAAGTAGAGGGGGACAGGAAGTGAAGTAGAGGGGAACTGGAAGTGAAGTAGAGGGGGACAGGAAGTGAAGTAGAGGTGAACAGGAAGTGAAGTAGAGGTGAACAGGAAGTGAAGTAGAGGTGAACAGGAAGTGAAGTAGAGGGGAACTGGAAGTGAAATAGAGGGGAACTGAAAGTGAAGTAGAGGTGAACAGGAAGTGAAGTAGAGGTGAACTGGAAGTGAAGTAGAGGGGAACAGGAAGTGAAGTAGAGGGGAACAGGAAGTGAAGTAGAGGGGGACAGGAAGTGAAATAGAGGGGAACTGGAAGTGAAGTAGAGGGGAACAGGAAGTGAAGTAGAGGTGAACTGGAGGTGAAGTAGAGGGGAACTGAAAGTGAAGTAGAGGTGAACAGGAAGTGAAGTAGAGGGGGACAGGAAGTGAAGTAGAGGTGAACAGGAAGTGAAGTAGAGGGGGACAGGAAGTGAAGTACAGGTGAACAGGAAGTGAAGTAGAGGTGAACTGGAAGTGAAGTAGAGGGGAACAGGAAGTGAAGTAGAGGTGAACTGGAAGTGAAGTAGAGGGGAACAGGAAGTAACCAGGAAGTGAACTGAACCAGTGACCCATCCTCTGTAACCTGAGCCTTTTCTCCATTTTGTCCTCAAGCCTGACCTCCAGGGTGACGTCCTGCTTAGCCATGGCCCTCTCCACCGTCTCGTACATCTGCGTGTTCTGAATGCCGAGACCACAGAAGATGGCGAAGGCCTCCAAGAACTGCTTGTCGTTTCTGTTGAACGCCTTAATGCTGCTGGAAGTTTCATCTGTTTTGTTCACCAGCTGACACACACCTACAGGACAAAACACACACAAAACCTGAACTGGTTATTTTGGGAGCAGGTGTTCCCCACAGCATGATACTGCCGCTGCTTTGATTCACCATGGACACATGCCAGTTCTGGTCTAAGAGCAGAGCATGTCCTTCCATGTTTGCTGTCCCTGCATGCCTGGTTACAAACCAAGAGGTGAAGCTGGAACGAATTTCTTCAACAAAGCCCAGATTAGTGGAGCTTCCTCTCTACAAACCTCTAAGAACTTCCCAGAACAGCAGCTTTTAAAGTGTGAAACAGCGGCAGGGCTCCTACCTATGACTTTGTCTTTTTTGCCATTCCTGATAGGAGTGCAGAGCAGGCTTCTGATCCGGCCGCTGGGCTGATCGGAGCTTTCACACTGTCAGACATCAGCAGGGATGATTACTCAGGGAGGAGGAAGAGGAAACATGAGGAAGAGAGGAGTACCGACCGTCCATGGGAAGCGCTGGTCCTTGGTGACGTCAGCGATGTTGAGAGTCTGCATGGTGTTTTTGACGTACTGAGCGTACATGTAGTTTATCTGACTGACATCACAGTCTCTGGGGAGGAAACCACAAACAGACTGAGAGTTATAGACCTGATAGGGACAGCTTCAGAAATGTTCAGCTGATCTAAAATACTGCAGCCAGAGATTTAATAAAGCGAATGCTGAGTTCACGCCTAAAGCAGCAGAGGCAGCAGGAGCAGTGAGGCTACATGCAAAGTCAATGGTTGACGCGCGTCAAGGCGCAGCAAAATGTGCCGCAGCGCGTTTTGAGCAGCTGAAGCAGCGCATCAGGAGCGTATGAGCATCTGACGCGCCGCAAACGCAGCTGAGATTAACCACGAGATTAATCCTGACATTTACCCCGAGATTTACCCCGAGATTAACCCTGAGATTAACCCTGAGAATAACCCTGAGATTTACCCTGAGATTTACCCTGAGATTTACCCTGAGATTAACCCTGAGATTTACCCTGAGATTTACCCTGAGATTTACCCTGAGATTTACCCTGAGATTAACCCTGAGATTTACCCCGAGATTAACCCCGAGATTTACCCTGAGATTTACCCTGAGATTTACCCTGAGATTAACCCTGTGATTAACCCTGAGATTTACCCTGAGATTTACCCCGAGATTTACCCCGAGATTTACCCCGAGATTAACCCTGAGATTTACCCTGAGATTAACCCTGTGATTTACCCTGAGATTTACCCTGAGATTTACCCCGAGATTTACCCCGAGATTTACCCCGAGATTAACCCTGAGATTAACCCTGACATTTACCCTGAGATTAACCCTGAGATTAACCCTGAGATTTACCCTGAGATTTACCCTGAGATTAACCCTGAGATTAACCCTGAGATTAACCCTGAGATTTACCCTGAGATTAACCCTGAGATTAACCCTGAAATTAACCCTGAGATTTACCCTGAGATTTACCCTGAGATTAACCCTGAGATTAACCCTGAGATTTACCCTGAGATTAACCCTGAGACTAACCCTGAGTTTAACCCTGAGATTTACCCTGATCTTTACCCTGAGATGTATCCTGAGTTTAACGCTGAGATTAACCCTGAGATTTACCCTGAGATTTACCCTGATCTTTACCCTGAGATGTATCCTGAGTTTAACGCTGAGATTAACCCTGAGATTAACCCTGAGATTTACCCTGAGATTTACCCTGAGATTAACCCTGAGATTAACCCTGAGATTTACCCTGAGATTAACCCTGAGATTTACCGAGATTAACGCTGAGATTAACCCTGAGATTAACCCTGAGATTAACCCTGAGATTAACCCTGAGATTAACCCTGAGATTTACCCTGAGATTAACCCTGAGATTTACCCTGAGATTAACCCTGAGATTAACCCTGAGATTAACCCTGAGATTAACCCTGAGATTTACCCTGAGATTTACCCTGAGATTAACCCTGAGATTAACCCTGAGATGTATCCTGAGTTTAACGCTGAGATTAACCCTGAGTTTAACCCTGAGATTTACCCTGATCTTTACCCTGAGATGTATCCTGAGTTTAACGCTGAGATTAACCCTGAGATTAACCCTGAGATTTACCCTGAGATTTACCCTGAGATTAACCCTGAGATTAACCCTGAGATTTACCCTGAGATTAACCCTGAGATTTACCGAGATTAACGCTGAGATTAACCCTGAGATTAACCCTGAGATTAACCCTGAGATTAACCCTGAGATTAACCCTGACATTTACCCTGAGATTAACCCTGAGATTTACCCTGAGATTAACCCTGAGATTAACCCTGAGATTTACCCTGAGATTAACCCTGAGATTAACCCTGAGATTAACCCTGAGATTAACCCTGAGATTTACCTTGAGATTTACCCTGAGATTAACCCTGAGATGTATCCTGAGTTTAACGCTGAGATTAACCTTAACCCTGACATTTACCCTGAGATTAACCCTGAGATTTACCCTGAGATTAACCCTGAGATTAACCCTGAGATTTACCCTGAGATTAACCCTGAGATTAACCCTGAGATTAACCCTGAGATTAACCCTGAGATTTACCCTGAGATTTACCCTGAGATTAACCCTGAGATGTATCCTGAGTTTAACGCTGAGATTAACCCTGAGTTTAACCCTGAGATTTACCCTGATCTTTACCCTGAGATGTATCCTGAGTTTAACGCTGAGATTAACCTTAACCCTGACCATAGCCTAGAGTTTATTCACATAATACCTTTAAACCCATCCCCTAACATCAAAAATGGGGAAATGCCACATCAGACTTTGGGCAGGGCTGATGATACATTTCATTATTGCCCAGAATCTGAATTCTGAAGCGGGACTGTAGTCAGATGTAAATGTTCAATGTCAGTTTTGGTTAGATATTAGTCTACTAGACACCACAGAAAGTAAAAACCTTCCCCATCACATACATCGTCTAAATTAGTTTCCCTCTTTCTATTCCATGTTAAAAAGTTAAACACTCATTTTACTGGATGTTAATATTGTTCCAGACAGCTGTTAGTCTGCTAATTTAAGCTACAGTAATTTAAAGACCAGGTTGGCAGAGATTTTCAGTTCTAGATGCATAGAAACACATCATCAGCATATTACCTATTTTAATGGTATTTGTTCCTATTTGCATTTTGTGAGTTTTTTAAATTGTAGCCAATAAAGGTTGAATTAAGAAAACAAACTGAGGGGTGGGGGTTGGCGTCCCCATCTAGGGCCTCTTAATAGAGCTGAAGGTAGGTCAACATTCATTTCCTCTAAAGGCAGCAGGCGAGCCGTAAAATATCTGGAGGATTTCCTTTATGCAGAGGAGATGATGGAGTTTATGAACTAAAATCTCCTCAGCTGACTCCTCTGGATGTGGAGGAGCCGTGGCTCTACTCCTGATGATCTTTGGTCCCTGATGACCGAGCTTCTTCAGAGGAGGCTCAGTCCAGCTGCTTGTATCCAGGTGGACTGGGTCCAGATTCCCCGCCCACAGGTGCAGGTAGAACCAGAGTTGACATTCATGTTGTCCTAAAGGTCCATAAGTTCCCTGCGTTTGGTTTGAGCATTCAAAGGTTCAGTGTTAGCTGCTCAGCTAACTGAGCATTTCCTCAGCTGTGCAGAGCTGAAGCCTTTCTGGACGTCCTCCATCATCAGCCTTGGTTAACCCGTCCAGGTGGGACCCATCCATCTTCTCACAGAGAGGATATTCATTATTATTCCTCTTTATTACCTTTTCTATCACTTTAATCTCAGACTGTTGCACTGAACTTCAGGCATTATTTTTGATAACCGGTTCTGTGGAGTTTTTCCTCTCCACTGTCGCTACAAGCATGCTTAGTGTGAGGGATTGCTGAAGAGTCAATGAGTCGATGCAATCAGCTGGTTTTCCTTAGATAGAAACTTTAAATCGATCTGGTTGATCTGGATCTATAGAGTGACCTGAGATGACATGATGTGAATCGGAGCTATAGAAATAAACTGAATAGAAAATCAACTTTGTCTGAAATGATTAAACTGTTTTTTTGATGAATCAGGCATAGTGTGATTACTGTTGCAGGAGGGGGAGTTAATAAGTTTCCCTCTAACATATATTTGCTAATATTTCTCTACCTTCTGCTGCTCTAAATGCTTTTAAATCCGACGTAAAGTGAGAAAAACGAGTCATTAGTTGGTCTCCTCAGGCTCAATCAAAGCCAAGTCTAATTTCCTCACCAGATGTGTTCAGATGGATGTTGTGTACAACAAGTTTATTTAGTTTCTTTGCTCAGCTCTCACTCATTTCCTGTTTCCTCTCCCTCTGTCTCTTATTGAGTTAAATGAGAAAACACACTAACTGCTGCCGTCACTAAAAAGTCCAACTATACATTCAGCTCAGCTCAGTATCCATGGAAACGTCATTGTTGTTCTCCTTTAAATGCTCCCTCTGTGATTCTTGCGAGCTGGATCAACATTGGTTCTGCTTGACTGAGCTTCCTGCTCTGGGGAAACAGATGCTGGGTCACTGGGAAGCTGAGGCCCGCGGTTAAGGCCACTATAAAAAGCGTCCTGTGGTCCAGCTAAAGCTAACATCCTGCAGGACCCCTCCCCTCCAAAGCTGGCCCAGTTGGAGACGTCCAGTTACTCTGGGTTTGCTCCCGCCGAGGCGACAGTCAGCACCAACACTCAGAGGCGTTCAGAGAAGTGATTAGACGAGGAGAAGCTGCTCTAGAAGCCGGCCTCAGGCCGACAGGCTAACAGGAGCTCTGGATTCGGTTCAATTCAGACCCTCCTAAGCTTTTCCCTCTCCTGCTGTTGGAGTAAAACCTGAGAGGATCATCACTGGAGCGGGTTTAAATAGCTGCTGCTTTTAAAGTGATAATTATTGTCAATCCAAATATTTTCATAAACCAAAGTTTTACACAATAAGTCCCAAAAAGAAGATGGCTGCATCTTGAGGAAGATCACTGAGGCCTCAGGAATCCAGGATGTTCAGCCATATTTCATCGATTCATGACGCTCTACATGAGTTCCTTTCTGATTTGGTATTAAATACTGACAGGGTCATCATAGTGGGAGATTTTAACATCCATGCTGACATTGAAGGCGATAGCTTAAGAGCAGCCTTTAATGCTATCTTAGACACTATTGGCTTTGTTCAAAATGTGAATAGTCCCACACATTCTCATCTTCATACTTTGATCTTGTGCTGACATACGGCATAGAATGTGAAGAAATAACAGTATTTCCTCACAACCCTGTCCTCTCTGACCACTTTCTAATAACCTTCAGGATTACTTTAACAGAGTTCTCCTCCCCCAAAAGAAGGTTACATTTTAGTAGATCTTTATCAGATAGTGCAGTTATAAATTTTAAAGAATCTGCTTCACTTTCTCTCTCCTCTGTGTCACTGAGCAGTGCTGCAGAGTGCAAAAGCTTAGCTTATTCCCCTTCACAGGTTGATGATTTTGTTGATGGGGTTGCTAGTTCTCTGCGTATTGCCTTAGACAACGCAGCTCCTTTGAAAATGAAAACCGTTGAAAATAGAAAGCTTGCTCCCTGGTTTAATGCAGAGCTGCGTACTTTGAAGCAAAATGCTAGGAAACTGGAGAGAAAATATCGCGGATTACTGTCATTATTTACTATCAGGAAAACCACAAAACGCAGTTTAATATATATTTATATATATTATAAATATTTACTATAATTTGTTGTCTGTGGTGAAGCGCCTTGTGATTTTATCTCTGAAAGGTTTTCAATTAATAAAAGTTATTATTATTATGATGAGATGAAAAGTGTCTCAGATCACAGAGCTGCCTGTGGAGCCAGTTTTCTGTAAGGAGAGAATCTTGTAAAATCAGTGACTTGATGATCTGGTTGATCTGGATCTACAACCTGAGCTAAGTTTTTATTTGTTGTTATAAATAAACTGAATTGAATTAAAGTGGATGGATCAGAGTGCGCTCGTTTATCAGCGCTGTTTTTCTCTTTGCTTTAGTGACGCCGTCGATGAGATCAGAGCTATAATATTGATCGGAAACAGAATCCATTCAGCCTCTTATTTCTCACTTTACTAATTAAATGTAGAGCTTCAAAAACGTTTCCCTGCTTGCTAACATCACAGCCTTCAGGTAGATCCTTAGAAAGCGTCATTTTTCTCCTCTAAGCTCCAGAACGCAATTTAATTTCTTTCAAATTCTCAGATTTGGTGCAGTTATGTGTCGGCCGGCGGTCACCATCAGGCTTCATCAGATCAAACACCATCAGAGAGCTTCGCTCCTCCGTCTCCTTCACCTTTACATAACAATAACAATTCTAGTCATTTTTTTCTATGCTTCAATTCCTAACATGTCATCTGAGGTCACTCTATAGATCCAGATCAATCAGATCATGTAGTCGGCTCAAAGTTTCTATCTGATGGAAACCAGCTGATTGAGGAGATTAATTACAGAATGATCAGGTAGAGATGTTGGGTCTCATACTAGAACCACTTCTATGAACTAAATTCATCCTGAATTGGTTCCTCAGAGTGATTCCGGATCAAACTCCTCATCCTCCATCTTCCTCCCGTCTCTGATCGTCTCTCAGGTCGGAACTCGTTCTCCTCCAGGAGTCTAGATCCATCAGTCAGCTGCTAGTTTCTCCCTAAATGACCTTAGAAGCACTCATCCATTTTATCGGGCTGCATCATTCTATATTCTGCAGCTCTACAATTCTGGATTCATTCTGCTGCTCAGCTCTCAGTTAGCAGATCCTCCACCTCTAGAGTTCTTCTTCTTTGTCTTCTTTCTGAACAAACAGGAAGTGGCAGCCTTATATGGGGGTGGTCATTATGTGGCGCGCTGTCAGGCGGACTGCATCTGGTTTATGAGGATCTGTGAGGATCATCTAGTGAAGTTAGGAAGGTTTGTTGAATCTGATTCAGGACATGATGAACCTGTTGCTGCATGAGGCCCGTTGACTCTTCAGCAGGTTGTTAGGGAAGCTAGCGCCCCCTGATGGCGTCTAAGCCTCCCAGCTTTTCCTGCAGCAGTTTAATAATTTTTAACTTTAGGCTTAAAATAATCTGTGAAAAAAGACAAAAATCAGGAATAAAAGGTTTGGTAGAATTTTTCAGATTAGATCAGCTCAGAACAGGGAAAAGTCGGCACAGCTGTGGGCTTTCAGTCATCAGCACGCCATGGCTCCAAAAACCGCCCTTAACGAGGTCATTTCCTGCATCCTATCATCAGGTGGATGCTTACCTGTCCAAACCCTGACCTCCTTCCTGCTGCCTCTACGCCTCAGGACCACACACACATTCTGCTTTATCAATCTGGGAAGCACCTGTGCTCATCTCGGGCGCCGCACAGTGGCAGCCCACTGCTCTCCAAGGGGATGGGTTCAATATAGATGTGAGATCAATAAACTTCAATCAATTAACAGATAAGAAGTAATAAGCACACATGACTAGTAATGAATAATCCTAAATAATCCCTGACACTGAGCATGCATGTAGCGACAGTGGAGGAGAAAACCTCCACCAGAACCAGAACCAATCCGTGTTAAAGATGAAACCTGACGAGGGGAGGCAGCCTCAGGTTCATCTCTCTAACACCTGAAGCACACCTGGTGACATCATCAGCTAGCAGAGACCCAAACACTGGGATTGTTCTATGTTTTACAAGCCTGGTAGGACTGACCCCGCACCAGAACAGAATCATCTTTAATAAACCAAATAAATAAAGTCCTTCTGCTCTGATCTATCAGCTCATGATCAGTCTGACATTGAAGGAGTAGCTTACGCCCTCTGTTAGCATCCCCTCTCTTTAGCATCTCTGCTCTGTTAGCATCTCCTCTCTTTTAGCATTTCCTCTCTTAAGCATCTCCTCTCTTTAGCATCTCTGCTCTGTTAGCATCTTCTCTCTGTTAGCATCTCCTCTCTGTAGCATCTCCTCTCTTTAGCATCTCTGCTCTGTTAGCATCCCCTCTCTTTAGCATCTCTGCTCTGTTAGCATCTCCTCTCTTTTAGCATTTCCTCTCTTAAGCATCTCCTCTCTTTAGCATCTCTGCTCTGTTAGCATCTTCTCTCTGTTAGCATCTCCTCTCTGTAGCATCTCCTCTCTTTAGCATCTCTGCTCTGTTAGCATCTTCTCTCTTTTAGCATTTCCTCTCTTTAGCATCTCTGCTCTGTTAGCATCTTCTCTCTTTTAGCATCCCCTCTCTTTAGCATCTCTGCTCTGTTAGCATCTTCTCTCTTTAGCATCTCTGCTCTGTTAGCATCTTCTCTCTTTTAGCATTTCCTCTCTTTAGCATCTCTGCTCTGTTAGCATTTCCTCTCTTTAGCATCTCTGCTCTGTTAGCATCTTCTCTCTTTAGCATCTCTGCTCTGTTAGCATCTTCTCTCTTTTAGCATTTCCTCTCTTTAGCATCTCTGCTCTGTTAGCATTTTCTCTCTTTAGCATCTCTGCTCTGTTAGCATCTTCTCTCTTTAGCATCTCTGCTCTGTTAGCATCTCCTCTCTTTAGCATCTCTGCTCTGTTAGCATCTTCTCTCTTTAGCATCTCTGCTCTGTTAGCAACCCCTCTCTTTAGCATCTCTGCTCTGTTAGCATCTCCTCTCTTTAGCATCTCTGCTCTGTTAGCATCTCCTCTCTTTAGCATCTCCACTCTGTTAGCATCTCCACTCTGTTAGCATCTTCTCTCTTTTAGCATTTCCTCTCTTTAGCATCTCCGCTCTGTTAGCATCTCCTCTCTGTTAGCATCTCCTCTCTGTTAGCATCTACGCTCTGTTAGCATCTCCTCTCTTTAGCATCTCCACTCTGTTAGCATCTCCACTCTGTTAGCATCTTCTCTCTTTTAGCATTTCCTCTCTTTAGCATCTCCGCTCTGTTAGCATTTCCTCTCTGTAGCATCTCCTCTCTTTAGCGTCTCCTCTCCATTAGCATCTCCGGTCTGTTAGCATCTCCTCTCTTTAGCATCTCCACCCTGTTAGCATCTCCACTCTGTTAGCATCTTCTCTCTTTTAGCATTTCCTCTCTTTAGCATCTCCGCTCTGTTAGCATCCACGCTCTGTTAGCATCTCCTCTCTTTAGCATCTCCTCTCTTTAGCATCTCCGCTCTGTTAGCATCTCAACTCTGTTAGCATCTCCTCTCTGTTAGCATCTCCTCTTTTTAGCATCTCCTCTCTGTTAGCATCTCCTCTCTGTTAGCATCTCCTCTCTGTTAGCATCTCAACTCTGTTAGCATCTCCTCTCTGTTAGCATCTCCTCTTTTTAGCATCTCCTCTCTGTTAGCATCTCCTCTCTGTTAGCATCTCCTCTTTTTAGCATCTCCTCTCTGTTAGCATCTCCTCTCTGTTAGCATCTCCTCTCTGTTAGCATCTCCTCTCTTTAGCATCAGCCGTATTCTTCAGAGGTTAAAACATTGTGTTCTTCAGTTTCTGTCTAATTGTCTGGTTCGGTTTTAGGGGTGGGGGGTTCTCTCACCTCTGGGGGGCGTCCAGGACTTTAGCCAGCTCCTCCCGTTCCATGTGAAACACGCTGGAGAAGGAATTCTAGAGGAAAAACAAGAACAGCTTGATTTGGAAAGAATCAGGAGGCATCCTGGGATAACGTGCCTTGCTCAGGGGCACATCAGCATGGACCCTATGGGGACAGTGGCAGAGACAAGGACACTTAACAAACTGCTGGACATTATGGACAATGCCAGCCACCCTGTCTTCACCACTCAGAGGAGCCTGATCAGTGGGAGATTGCTGCGACCTAAATGCAGGAGCAACAGACTGCTGAACCCCCCCCCAAACCAACAACCCCCCCCCCCCCCCCCCTCCTTGGATGCCTGATGCTGCTAAACATGACCTATTGTCACTCATGTGCAACACTCTCTCTCACTGTGCAATAAGCTACTGTGTAGCCTTTCCTAGCTCTATACTGTGATAATCTACAGATATCTTTATGTCTAAAGAAAACATATTCAAGGATTTTTTATGCTCTTTTGTACTATATACACTCCTTTTATAAAGTATTTTTAGCTGGCATCCTGCTTTAACTCTTTGTACTCTATATAAACTACTGGAAGCAGAATTTCTGTGAAGGACTAATTCCAAGGGATTAATAAAGCTGAATCTAAGTTTAAACTGAACTGCATACATTCAGGGTCTGTTTTAGAAAGAGTGGCTTCAGCAAAACAACAGGAGCTAAAGTCAGCAAACACTTTCCTGCTCTTACTGTTGGTGCTTTCAGTCTTACTTCCAGCGGACATGAGCTGCTTTCCTGGAGAAAATGTTAAAATCCACAGATCCGAGGCTCCAATTGAGAAACTACAGACATGAAATAGTGACACCTGAAGGCCAGTTGGTCCCTAATCCGAAGGTAAATGTTTGGAAAGGAAAGGAAAAGAATAGAGAGAAAGCAGGGAGGGGGATAAGAGAGGAGACGGCTTGTCTGGAGAAGCTGAGTTCACGAGAAGGACAAAAGCATACGAGCTGAGGCTGCGTTACCTCGGCGGAGAGACACCTTTACAAAGTCAAACACATGGAGACTATGGCTGGGTGGGAATACTTTTCACATTTCCTCGCATTCCAACCACTGAAGAATCTGTTATAGGTCAGCTCAGACTGCATGGAGGTCTGTGATGAAGGGTTAAAGTAATGCTAGCAGAACGTGGAGCATGTGAACTAGAACCTAAAGTATGCTAGCAGAACGTGGAGCATGTGAACTAGAACCTAAAGTACGCTAGCAGAACGTGGAACATGATAACTAGAACCTAAAGTATGCTAGCAGAACGTGGAGCATGTGAACTAGAACCTAAAGTATGCTAGCAGAACGTGGAGCATGTGAACTAGAACCTAAAGTATGCTAGCAGAACATGTAGCATGTGAACTAGAACCTAAAGTACGCTAGCAGAACGTGGAACATGATAACTAGAACCTAAAGTATGCTAGCAGAACGTGGAGCATGTGAACTAGAACCTAAAGTATGCTAGCAGAACGTGGAGCATGTGAACTAGAACCTAAAGTATGCTAGCAGAACATGTAGCATGTGAACTAGAACCTAAAGTACGCTAGCAGAATGTGGAACATGTTAACTAGAACCTAAAGTATGCTAGCAGAACGTGGAACATGTGAACTAGAACCTAAAGTATGCTAGCAGAACGTGGAACATGTGAACAGAACCATGCTCCACGTTCTGCTAGCAGTACTTTAGGTTCTAGTTCACATGCTCCACGTTCTGCTAGCATACTTTAGGTTATAGTTCACATGCTCCACGTTCTGCTAGCATACTTTAGGTTCTAGTTCACATGCTCCACGTTCTGCTAGCATACTTTAGGTTCTAGTTCACATGCTCCACGTTCTGCTAGCATACTTTAGGTTCTAGTTCACATGCTCCACATTCTGCTAGCGTACTTTAAGTTCTAGTTCACATGCTCCACATTCTGCTAGCGTACTTTAGGTTCTGGTTAACATGCTCCATGTTCTGCTAGCATACTTTAGGTTCTAGTTCACATGCTCCACTTTCTGCTAGCATACTTTAGGTTCTAGTTCACATGCTCCACGTTCTGCTAGCATGCTTTAAGTTCTAGTTCACATGCTACACGTTCTGCTAGCATACTTTAAGTTCTAGTTCACATGCTCCATGTTCTGCTAGCGTACTTTAGGTTCTAGTTCACATGCTCCACTTTCTGCTAGCATATTTTAGGTTGTAGTTCACATGCTCCACGTTCTGCTAGCGTACTTGAGGTTGTAGTTCACATGCTACACGTTCTGCTAGCATACTTTAGGTTCTAGTTCACATGCTCCACGTTCTGCTAGCATGCTTTAAGTTCTAGTTCACATGCTACACGTTCTGCTAGCATACTTTAGGTTCTAGTTCACATGCTCCACGTTCTGCTAGCATACTTTAGGTTCTAGTTAACATGTTCCATGTTCTGCTAGCATACTTTAGGTTCTAGTTAACATGTTCCACGTTCTGCTAACATACTTTAGGTTATAGTTCACATGCTCCACGTTCTGCTAGCATACTTTAGGTTCTAATTCACAGGCTCCACTTTCTGCTAGCATACTTTAGGTTCTAGTTCACAGGCTCCACTTTCTACTAGCATACTTTAGGTTCTAGTTCACATGCTCCACGTTCTGCTAGCATACTTTAGGTTCTAGTTCACATGCTCCACATTCTGCTAGCGTACTTTAAGTTCTAGTTCACATGCTCCACGTTCTGCTAGCGTACTTTAGGTTCTAGTTAACATGCTCCATGTTCTGCTAGCGTACTTTAGGTTCTAGTTCACATGCTCCACTTTCTGCTAGCATACTTTAGGTTCTAGTTCACATGCTCCACGTTCTGCTAGCGTACTTTAGGTTCTAGTTCACATGCTCCACGTTCTGCTAGCATGCTTTAAGTTCTAGTTCACATGCTACACGTTCTGCTAGCATACTTTAAGTTCTAGTTCACATGCTCCATGTTCTGCTAGCGTACTTTAGGTTCTAGTTCACATGCTCCACTTTCTGCTAGCATACTTTAGGTTGTAGTTCACATGCTCCACGTTCTGCTAGCGTACTTGAGGTTGTAGTTCACATGCTACACGTTCTGCTAGCATACTTTAGGATCTAGTTCACATGCTCCACGTTCTGCTAGCATGCTTTAAGTTCTAGTTCACATGCTCCACGTTCTGCTAGCGTACTTTAGGTTCTAGTTAACATGTTCCACGTTCTGCTAGCATACTTTAGGTTCTAGTTAACATGTTCCACGTTCTGCTAGCATACTTTAGGTTCTAGTTCACATGCTCCACGTTCTGCTAGCGTACTTTAGGTTCTAGTTAACATGTTCCACGTTCTGCTTGCGTACTTGAGGTTGTAGTTCACATGCTACACGTTCTGCTAGCATACTTTAGGTTCTAGTTCACATGCTCCACGTTCTGCTAGCGTACTTTAGGTTCTAGTTAACATGTTCCACGTTCTGCTAGCATACTTTAGGTTCTAGTTAACATGTTCCACGTTCTGCTAGCATACTTTAGGTTCTAGTTCACATGCTCCACGTTCTGCTAGCGTACTTTAGGTTCTAGTTAACATGTTCCACGTTCTGCTAGCATACTTTAGGTTCTAGTTAACATGTTCCACGTTCTGCTAGCATACTTTAGGTTCTAGTTCACATGCTCCACGTTCCGCTCACGTACTTGAGGTTGTAGTTCACATGCTCCACGTTCTGCTAGCATACTTTAGGTTCTAGTTCACAGGCTCCACTTTCTGCTAGCATACTTTAGGTTCTAGTTCACAGGCTCCACTTTCTGCTAGCATACTTTAGGTTCTAGTTCACATGCTCCACGTTCTGCTAGCGTACTTGAGGTTGTAGTTCACATGCTACACGTTCTGCTAGCATACTTTAGGTTCTAGTTCACATGCTCCACGTTCTGCTGCAATGCTTTAAGTTCTAGTTCACATGCTACACGTTCTGCTAGCATACTTAAGTTCTAGTTCACATGCTCCACGTTCTGCTAGCATACTTTAGGTTCTAGTTAACATGTTCCACATTCTGCTAGCATACTTTAGGTTCTAGTTAACATGTTCCACGTTCTGCTAGCATACTTTAGGTTATAGTTCACATGCTCCACGTTCTGCTAGCATACTTTAGGTTCTAATTCACAGGCTCCACTTTCTGCTAGCATACTTTAGGTTCTAGTTCACAGGCTCCACTTTCTACTAGCATACTTTAGGTTCTAGTTCACATGCTCCACGTTCTGCTAGCATACTTTAGGTTCTAGTTCACATGCTCCACATTCTGCTAGCGTACTTTAAGTTCTAGTTCACATGCTCCACGTTCTGCTAGCGTACTTTAGGTTCTAGTTAACATGCTCCATGTTCTGCTAGCGTACTTTAGGTTCTAGTTCACATGCTCCACTTTCTGCTAGCATACTTTAGGTTCTAGTTCACATGCTCCACGTTCTGCTAGCGTACTTTAGGTTCTAGTTCACATGCTCCACGTTCTGCTAGCATGCTTTAAGTTCTAGTTCACATGCTACACGTTCTGCTAGCATACTTTAAGTTCTAGTTCACATTCTCCATGTTCTGCTAGCGTACTTTAGGTTCTAGTTCACATGCTCCACTTTCTGCTAGCATACTTTAGGTTGTAGTTCACATGCTCCACGTTCTGCTAGCGTACTTGAGGTTGTAGTTCACATGCTACACGTTCTGCTAGCATACTTTAGGTTCTAGTTCACATGCTCCACGTTCTGCTAGCATGCTTTAAGTTCTAGTTCACATGCTCCACGTTCTGCTAGCGTACTTTAGGTTCTAGTTAACATGTTCCACGTTCTGCTAGCATACTTTAGGTTCTAGTTAACATGTTCCACGTTCTGCTAGCATACTTTAGGTTCTAGTTCACATGCTCCACGTTCTGCTAGCGTACTTTAGGTTCTAGTTAACATGTTCCACGTTCTGCTTGCATACTTGAGGTTGTAGTTCACATGCTACACGTTCTGCTAGCATACTTTAGGTTCTAGTTCACATGCTCCACGTTCTGCTAGCGTACTTTAGGTTCTAGTTAACATGTTCCACGTTCTGCT